GTCACTCGCCCATAGATGACAGAGATCACAGACTATTCCATTGTCCCCATTTTGCACTTCTGCGGCAGCAGCTGGCCAGTGAGATCCGTGACTTGACACGTGGACAGCATGATTGGAGTTGGGCTTATCTTGCAGGCTTGGGACGCCCATTCTTGGCTCGTTTCCTGAGGGCTTTTCGAAGGACCACTACGCATTGATTGCTTGATCTTTCCCATTGAGAGAGGCTATTGTTTGTCGAGACTGGGAAAGTTCGACGCTGGAAGTCAGACAGGGCATGGGATATGAGACATATTGGCACACTCCGGGAGACTTTGGGACAGCTTGGGACAACTTGGGACATCTTGGGACATTCTGGGATATTTGGGACATGACCTGATACATTCTCCTCCTGACTGAACATTTTGCCCTGCTGCTTGGGACTCCCCTGCAGGAACATTCTGGCCTCTACGAACAATGCTGGCATCTTGCTTTCTTTTTGTTTGGGATCCTACATCGGCTCCTGCTGGAAAAGGATCCTACTATACTTTGAGAGTTGCCGGGGAGTTCCCTCGTTTTCACACATCTGTAATACATTTGGAATTAAACATATATATATATATATATATGTATATATGTATATACATAGATAAATCAACATATACAAAGAGCCGCAAGGACAAGAAGGAGAAAAGCGTTGAACTGCGCATGAACACGAGTAGGCCGAGTCCCGACATACATAACCTAACTAAACAAGGGAAATACTAGGGAGGCAAGAGGCATGAAGGGCGATAAGCGAACGTCCTCAACCGTAACTTAAGCGGCGACACACGAAGCTTAATTACAAAATACTGCCAAATCCTCGATACTTAATGGAATGACCTGAAATTTTGAACGTATACTCCCAAGACATAGACATACCGTTGGTATAAATTTCATTGAAAAATAATGCATTTATGATGTAGATGTAGGGTGGCAAAGTCGTAGAGGACAATTCATCTTGGACGGAGGAAGTATTATTTTTTTCATGTGCACGAGACCGTTCGAATGAGTGCACAGGAAACAATGACCAGAATACCCTAGGCAAAGAGCTATGTGTCAGCAGCACGTGCTGGTGAGGCACAGGGCGGGGCAGCCCAACCGCTTGTTGGCGGTGCCTTGGTTGCCCAGCGATTGACCGCAGTTTGACCGCCGATTGACCGGCGCCATAGTAGGCGATCGTTCCGCGACACGAGTTAGCGCCCAGGAACGAGCGAGCAAGAGGGTGGCTGAAGAGCTGTTCATGCTGGGAGGGCCGCGGGCAAGGCACAAGGCGGGGCAGCCCAGGCGCTGCCTAACGGCGCGTGGCTGCGATTGACCGCAGGTTGACCGCCGATTGACCTCTGCCATACCATGTGATCTCGGTGGCCAAACCGGTTGTGGTCGTCGCCACTTGGGACAAAAGGGGCGCTAAAGACGGTCCACAAGCACAACATAGTGCCTCTCATGTACTCGCTCGTGGCACCCATGCGCCCTCAACAAACGTGGGTGTGGAGCTTCCTAGGCAGGCGGTCATGCCACTCGTGGCCAACTAAATTGGCAGCCGAAGGGTAAGTGCTATAACAGGCAAGCACCACAACCATGTAAGGGCCAATGCTCGCTGGCGCTTTGGCACAACAAAATGATTGAATTGGGTGGATCAGAAGCGGGGGGCAAGGCGCCAAGAATAGTGTCACCGCTACCTCCACCTGGCAGCAAGCAACGGTAGGGTCATGGTCAGGGCTGTGGCATTGGGTAGGGAGGGAATGACAACAACAAGGCGCCCGGCTAGAGGAGCAACCACCAAACGGAGTTTGTGGTTTGGTGGTGCAAGCATTCGCACCTAATCGCCAAACGGGGGGCTACTTTGCAGGTGCTGTGGTACCTGCTGGAGGACCGCACCTTTTTTTTCACTTATTCATGCATGGCTGCAGTTTTTGCATGTTGTTGTGCCTTTGCCACCCACACCTACGCTAGCTATCGCGCCTCGCATCGCCATGTATTTTCTGTCGTGCCAATACCTTGAGAGGCCTAGAGGGGCACACACAACCGACAGGGATGCCTAGATGCTCGGGGGCGGACATATTGGCGCCTGTCACCATTGAGAATGCAATCTACACCATGCCTCTTTCCGCCATTCCGCACCCCCACACAGGTGGCGGGGATGGTTATATCCATGGTGGGTAGGAATAGTGGTATCTATTGCCATTAAGGCAAGAGATTTGCATTCCGCAGCAAGCCGCTCTTTTCCATTCCACACCCACGAGGTGCCCATTGGACCACTCTTGCCGATTCTGGCCTCTTTCCGTAATTCAGATGCCATTTTCATGGGGGAACATTGGGGCAACGGATTGGATGGGCTTGGTGGCCTTGGCCATCCAAGTTATTAATTGAAAATCCCCAACAATTTTGTTTGAAACAAAATTCTCTAATCGCATTAAGCCATTCTCTATTTTTCCTAGGCTGTTGTAACCCAAAAAAATTTGGAAATGCATGATACACACGTCCTCTCAAACAAACTCAGATTTGCTATAAAAATGACTTTGTTAACTCCAAACCGGTGCAACTTCCTCACCTCACATGCCAATTCTCTTTATGGGATGCTTCATGGAGTGGATCCAATGCATTCATATGCCATTTAATCCCACGATGGACTGCTCCAGCGTCTCAAACACTGAATTCAATACGTTGTGTATACCTGCAGCACAGGACTAAACTTACACAATTACAAAGCATTTTCTTTGATCTTCTATCTCTCTTTCTCAGTGCTTTTGTCTAATCGAATTCGTAATTACGAACCTAATTCTGATTCACAAATTCTAATCATGATTCTTTCTTTGCTTTGTAACAGCCCCACCCTATCTTGATGTGGCCCAACACGGTTCCTGTTGGGATCCGCAAGACTTGTCCAAGCCACCCGCCCAACACCACCCCCATTCCCACCCCCTCCATTCCCACTCCCAGGCCCTCCATCATGGGTCCGGCTTGGGTGAAGGTTACAATTGAATTCAATGACAGTACGACAGTTGTCTACACAAACACCCCTGGCTTGTGTAATACATTGGAATTCAAAAAAAAATACCCCTGGCAGCGGCTTGAAGATCAAGTAGATCTACACTGGCTTTTGGAGGCCGCTTATGAGACAACACCGCCTTCATTCGCTTATCGAGACAGTATTCCTCTACACCAACAAACAAATTCCATAGCGCAAGTAAAAATGCGCGTGGACGTACTGCCCTGGAATATGTGAATTGCTTGCAAACTATAAGTTGCACATTTGTTCTCACATACCAGGTTTTAACTCAGACAACCATTGGTGAAATGGCAGCACTGTCTTCTCTCAGATCCATTCTCTCAGATCCATTCCTGCAGGTGCCGTTGTCGCCCAAGTCCTTGTTGTCCAACATTGACTTCATTCATCGCTCAAGAGGGAGAAAGTTCCCAAACAAGTGGATGCCCTATAACAAGAAGAAGGCTTTTCTTGCAAAAGCAGACCAGTCCAAGCCCAACGCTCCCCTATCCGTCATGGCATGTTTTTGAGGTTTTGGCAACGTTGCCTACTCAGTGCAAACAGGGATGACCTTTGATATTGATTGTGTTGCCAATCTGGTCAACATCGCTTACCATGGCTTTTATCATCGCATTTCCAAATCATTGCAATCGCAACAATTCAACCGTTTCCCCCTTCAAACAAGTTTGAAGTTGTATGGCATTGTTAGCCAATGTTGCTAAGTCATCCTGAAATCGAAATAAGGATTGACACTAGGGGGAGTGAAGGGGGGGGGGGGAGGTCTAAGCTTAACGTCACATTGACACTAAGCATACAAAATTCAAAATAGTTTCTTCCCTTACCTATCTTTTTCTTCATGTCGCTTGCAGTGTGCGCTCATCTTCTCATGCGAGGAATAGAGTCTGGCACACACCTGCTCAGGAGGGGTTGCCCTTTGCCCGACCTGTGTGCTTCCCATGTGTAACAAATCTTTTGCTGGCGCAACCCCTATTTTTAGGTTGATCCAATTGCTGATGCCGGCGCGATTCAGCATCATCACTTAATAACGTGAAGCAACATCAAGAGGTTTTAGAGGAACGCAAATAGCCAAGGTTGCAGCAATTATGTGTGGTTGGAAAGTGGGAGGCTTGAAGCGAAGATGGGCGACAGGGACAGCCATGGAGGCTGCCAGTGGAGGCATTTGAGGGGCATCCTTTACGACTGAACGCTTGAGGGATGTTTTTAAACAATTCACGACTTGTTTACCATTGTTTTAGCTGCAGTTTGGGCCTCTTCTTAGCCCATGTCGATTTTTGGTCAATTGCATAATTTCTTGGCGTCACAAGTCTGGAGCCCATTCCCTCATTCCCTCGCATCAATTTGACGCAAAGCACAACAAACTCAACACAGTGCGTTCCCTTCATGAGACCGGCTCCATGCTGGCACATCATGAACATCGGGTCATTATATTGCCCACACACACAGTTCCCGCGCCCCAGGACGGAGCTGGCCTGAGGGACCGCAATGAACGAAGTCGGGAATCATCCCACACCGGAACCTGAAATCAAATCGGGCGTCGCAGCACCCGACGCCTCCTCCCTTCCCATTCGGCTTCTAGCGCCCACAGAGACGCGCGGTGCCAACCCCACCGCCCCCGATGCAGCCGCCCCCGTCACCTAGCACACGCACTTCTAGGCAGACCTGCAACACCCACGGTTCAGCAGCGCCATCCGTCCATTGTTCCTTCTGATCAAGACGCACCATGCCCGTGGCCCTGCGCTCCGATCACATGTTCATGGCACCTATAAGGATCAATTCAGAGAGGCACGCGGGGACATGTTCCTGAAATCATGGCCTCAGCATTCAAAAGCTCGAATCGCCGTTCGTTCAAGGCCGATTCGCGTCGCGCCAACACTCGCATCAGCACTCCCACGACACGGATGCAGCACTCTGGATCCGGGCGACCAGTCGCAAAAGGCGTGGCCTTCTATCCTGAGCTTCTAAAATGGACGGCACCTCATTTGGACTCCGTCGCGACCTTCAAATACGCGACGATGTCCACCCTATCCTTGGGATCCCGCACTCCCGGGACGGGCTTCTTCGTCCCGGGAATGTATGCCTTTGGGTCAGTCAAGTAGTCGAACAGCGTCTCTTCGCCCCAGGTCACCTTCTTGGCCTTGTTCGCCTTTGAGTACTTGTAACCAGGCGCGCTGCCGCACTGTCGCCCAAAGAGGCCGCCAAGGTTGGGCCCGAATCTGTGGGCGCCCTTCGGCTCCACAGTGTGGCAGTGAGAGCAGTGCTCCTTGAAGAGTTCCGCCCCCCGCACGGCGTCCCCGGCGTCCGCGGCGTCCGCACTCGCCATCACCGACTCGGAACAGACAGTCGCCGGCTGTGCCTGAGTGGGTGCCGATTGGTTGCGCAGGGACGCTGGGCAAGGGTGGCACTGCTGGCGCTGAGCAACGTCATCGTTTCAGCATCTTTATCCTTCTAAGGTTCGCGCTTCACGATTCGCGGGGGAGCTCCTCTGTTCGTACCATGGTGTAATACACTTGGAATTCAAAAATAAATCCTTTAGTGGCACTGTACAGGCAGTACAACAGCACGGTTGGACGCAACGCATTCACTGAAGAGACAGTTCCGTTGCTCCCACTATTCTTCTGGCAGTTTCAGTGTCCCATAAATCCCACCACCAAAACACCAAAACACCCCAGACGGGGGATTCAGCAAAAGACGGACGGGGACATATATTATCGCAACTCAATGCCATCGCAAGCCTAGTCTATGGCGGCCAAGTGGTGGGATATGGACATGGGGTAGCTTGCGGGTTCGTATCTGGGAATAGGATAGCGCAAGGGGAAGTCCTTGACAGGCGATCAAGTTGATGAAAGCAACCCTGCATGGCTCCCCAACGCGATATCCAAAGGTTAGACCAAGCGAGGCGATGAACGCGACCACAAATGCTCTAAGACAGGATGCGACACCACATATGTTTATTTGAGGACCTCAAGTTCAGGTGCAAGTCACCTGGCTGCTGAAGTGGTTGTGGCTGCTTGGAACACATTGGCGAGGAGAATAGAGGAATTGTTCTAATCTGGCCCTAGGGCTGTAAACAGCATGATCCGTTGGTAGACTTGACTTCAACTGCAAGAACCCCAGTGTGGATGTTTGGCTCACATCTTCCATTTCACAGTTACACGGTGCAAAAACTCTGTTGCATCTTGTTGTGTCCATGTTGAAACGGCCCACTGGCCTGAAGACTCAGCCAACATTGCATCCTCTTCCACTGGGGGACCGGGGGTTGCGCAGCTGCCAGCCATGTTCACCTCACCTGTGTGCAGAGCAGGGCTCACAGGACGAGACGATCAAATACAATGGTGGCGGCTGGGTAGCCCCAAGTGCATAGTGCCATTGCACTTGGAAGCATACGCGTGGCTGTTCATACAGCCAACTTCAACACAACACCCAAGGGACACAGCATTCAGTGCATGGCCTCACACATATCGCAGATCCCATCTTGCTCATGCAATTGGCCACTCACTGCAGGGCGAACAACCCCACAATCTGCAGCATGCGACAAAAATTCCAATCTGATCTGTGCATATGTACTATGAGAAATGCCACATGTATGGTTGCATTGGTTTAGCTGTTCGGATGCAGCAGGCGGTTTGAACATTCCTTTGCAGGAGAAGGACTACAAGGCGGCACACCACTGATCGCTATAGCCACATCTGCTGACATTGTGTCCAGGTGACACTGCGATGGCAGACCGATTGTTGTGTTACAAAAGAATGTACATATTCAGCAGCAGATGCCTGATCCCTTGTCACAAACCACTCACACTACAGAAAATCAACAGGGCCCAATTTACAGTCAGTCTCACACTCTCCAACAACCACAAGATCCTATTCCCAAACCCTTCTCCCCTCATCTGTTCACCTACTTCAGGTATGGTCAGCTTTGCGTGGACAACTGCACCATCTGTGTGTCCTCAGGGTGCTTCTCTCTGATGAGGTTCGTCGGCTCGCTCAGCACATACTTGGGCAAATCGTATTTCCAACCTGCAGGATGAAACAGGAGTTTCATGCCATTGCAGACAAAAGGGCCTTTCAGGTATTGTGCCAATGCCTGTGGTTCGTGAATGGACACTATTTCGGGTTCTTGTTGTCAGAATGGTGTTGCTAACACTGCATTTACTCCATACTCTATAGGCACAGGGGCGGCCGCAATGCCTTGTCACATCCTTTGACCCTTGCAATCAAAGAACTCACTGCTGCAGTCAATTACACCATGATACTATGTCCAGTGTGGCAGTACCTCTCTCGTCATAGCAAACTGTCAGGTCATCAGCACCGACAATGATTCCAGCGCCCTCGATGATGGCATCCTTCATTGACTTCTCTGCTTCCACCATGGCCTTCAGCGCATCCCAGATGACTGGGGACACAAAGCACACCATCTTTGGAAACTTGTAGCCAAAACAAAAGAAAAAGAAACAAAAGGGACTTGGTGTAGGTGGGATTGCAGGAAGCAAATGTGCTCTGAGCAGCCCACATAGTCCTACAACGGCAACTGATGTCTATTGACGATGCTGCTGGAAAAATGCCTTATCCTGCTTAATTTGAGCTCAATCTGCAAGCTGTCTCGAGCTGCCAGCACATAGCACAGACAGGGCAGAACCTCTCAAGTACAGCTTGGTTGAGCAAATTAAACTAACAATAAACATCCAGAGGAAGATTCAACACGCAGAAAGATAACATCCCAGCAGCCTTTAGCACTCACAGTATTGAGCACGCAATACCAAAGGAAACATGTACTTCAGTGCATGTTTATGGCGATTGTATGCATAAATACACATGTCCAAGAGTGTACTTTCTTGGTCTCAAGGGGATGGCTCCTGCAGCAGCACATGCAAAGGAACAGTAGCAGATTACTCGTAGCTGTTGTGGGATCGGGCGCCCCATCAAGATAGTCGATCCACAGCAGCACACAAATTACAGCAACACTAAGGTACTGGACACCATGAATGCACTCTGCAGCTTCCTCTCTCTGGAACAAATGACCAGAGGCCATGAGGCACAATTGAGCGTACTTCCGTTCTTTCTACATCTAGCATCATGTGTGTTGGAACCGGAATGGAAGAGGAGAGAGGAGCGGAAGAGGACAGCTGCGCACTGTTGGCGTGTTTGTTTGTGATTTTCAAGCAAGTGCCACAGCCAGCTGTAGGAGCTCACCTTCCTTTTAATGTGTCTCCATCATCTTTGCATTAGCCATTCAGAGGTTGAATTGGGAAGCAGAGCCAACAAGCTGTCACCGCTATGGTGGGCCCTTTGGGCCTGGGTTTCGCTGCCATTGTCTACACGTCGCATATGCAACAAGTGGTGTGCGGAACTGTGCTCGTGAGGAAACGATCAAAAGTGTGCTGGATGCCTCCGTGCCCGTGGCCATTTCAAACGTCTAGGCTTGGATTTGTCATGTTGTGTTGACAAATGGCAATCATGGGAAGTTTGTCGAGTTGGTTCCGCAGAATGGGCACTCCAGTTTGCGTGGAGCGACTTGGAGGGAAGCAATCAACTCGATGTGGCCCCCAGTTACCCCCGACCCACCCTGCGCCCAGACCAAGGCCAAGGAAGACGGCGCAGGAGCAATCAACAGCAAAGAAAGCCACAACGGACAGTGATTGGCACCCGCTGCTGGCTGGTCCGTGCTGTGGCGAGGAGTTGAGATCGATGCCTCTCGCGTTGCGCTGGGAGCCGGCTACACGGGCAGCAACCAGGCCGCCGATATTGAACAAGATCATCGCCCGCATCGAAGTCTTCCTGGTCCAAGGCTTGGTGCTGGGGCTTGACGGGAGCATTCTGAGCTTAGTCAGACCGTCGTCCCAGCCCACTTGCACGACGGGTTCGAAGCGAACGCACCCACCTCTATCTCCGCCATAGTGTGGCTGCGTGTCCCAGAACTCCTCGCGCATAGCGCGCAGTTTGGACTCCGGCATCGGCTTGTCAGCCTTCCATTTCGCCCTCCTGTACTTTCTGCCGCTGGGCTTGCTCCTGGTGCTGGCTTTCGATGGCAAGCAACCCATAAAGCGCGGTGGGCGGTGGCCCAACGGTTCTACTTCATCACCGTTCCTGTCGTTGCAGGTGCCGGCAGCAGGTTCACAACTTTTGCGTTCCGCGTCGACGAGCGCCCAAAGGCTTGCGCAGCAGTGTATGCACACAGAACAGGAGAATGCGACCTTGGTTGCGATCTCCAGTTTTGTAGGTCAAGGGAGGGTCGCTGAGCCTGGATGTTACGTGTTGCTTTCTCAGTGTTTGGCATGGGGTGCGTGTGCCGCAGCGACAACCGATCTTGACGGCCGGGGTGGCCAGGAGAGTACAGCAACACGACGGTGCTCTGACCTGCCACGTCCTTGCTTGTGAGACCCCTTCATTCCACCACTTGTGGTACAATGTGTACCTTGCACCAATGTGGTGGTGTTGAAAAGAAAGCACCATACACACGTACCGCCATGACTAACAATTATTGCGTTGCATCCATTGTTACTCTGCGACCAGATATCTGGCTTGCAACATCTAGGCCGCTGAGGCCTCAAGGGTGATGTGCATGCACGCAGTTACAATTAATGTTCTTTCTCCTAACACAATGAAAGTATTGAATATAAAATCTTGAAAAATAAAATATGTACTAAAACAACCTCAGAGTAAACCTTAACTGGGTTAGTTCCCATTAACTTTCTGCAGCAAAGTACTTATCAACGCCCTAGCATAGTTAGGAGCCTTTGTCTAAGGTGAGTATTACGCACAAGCCTAGTGTGGGGGATACCCTGCCTTGGTCTCCTGGTGTGGGCAACGCCTTGCCCATGATATGTAAGAGTTCCCTGGTTTAGATATTACATTACCTCCTCCATCCCATATTAAATGTCCTCTATTTCAAAGACAAAATTTATTACAAAGAATGCATCAAAAGTACAAAACAATATCAGAATCAGAAAGATTGGTCCAAAAACCCTTAACTACCAATTCTCAAGGGAAAAAAATTCAGCCCTAACCCCTCTGAGCAGCCTCCAAAATACCCCTTGCCCGGCCCAAAAAATGTGCATTCATATTCCACGTCCACGGGGGATCTCTGCGCATCTGGCTGCTCCCATCCTCGCATGCAACAAGCCAAAGTCGTTGCCACCATCATTGTAAGGGTTAGTCCTGGTACATTGTATATTATAAGCTGGTTGGGAACAACGCATTGTAAAATAGGGTTCTTCATGGGACGGTGTATAATAGGAGCCAGGGCTAGTACTTAAAAAAAGGGAGGAAAGCAACAATTTGGGTGTTTCGTTAACTCTGGGACTGAGAGGGGAGATACTACAGGGAGGCACCGTGTTACGCACACTGGCCTGATGTGGGGGACGCCCTACTAACGGCCCCTTGGTGTGGCGGATGCCCTGCCCAAGGTATGGTGAAATATCCCCAACCCGCTTAACGATATTATACGATATGGGAATAGGTTGGGGTGGTCCCACCTAGGTCCCCGTAAGGACCTAGGTGCCCGGCGAGGCGGGTCCGTGGCTCACAGAGGGCAGGAGCCCCACACTAACAACCTTCACGTAGCACACCGTGTTGGTCAGCACAGTGGGAGACAATTCTCGGGACCAATGGGTCGGTGGGACGGAAGGACAAGGGACGGGAATTCAAATTACGAACCTGGTAGGTATGCCAGAATTAGGGTGACTCACCCTATTTTGGCATGACCTTTGGGATGCTTTGGGATGGCGGGTATATATACTAGACGTGGCCGCTCAGCTTTTTTTCTGTTATTTTCTGTTTGTACTTTTTTTGAACATGAGTATTCCGTCCGTCGATTTTCCGTCACTTTGCCGGGGCCGGGTTTCCGTAGGCATTCATGCCACATCAGCTTTCAATTTTCTGGCTCTGGAGCTGTCCGTCAAGGGGGTGTTTGCAGCCAGCGGCTTCTGTAAAAAGTGTTTTTTTTCCGTTGCCTTTCCTGGCGTTCCGTTGCCATCCGTCACGGAATTTGAGATTCTGGTAGTATTCCGTTGGTCAACGGCGGTTTCTGTTGGAGGCAATTTTTGCCTGTACATACGGGGCCACAGCAGTGATATAACGAGGTGCAATATTAATACATGTATAAACAATGCATGTCTCCCTATTTGCAGTCCACGCCATCATAAGTGCTACCTCGGCCGGTACTCCTTGCCAGACAGGGGACGCGAACCGCTGTTCTTTCCCAGCCATCCCTTGCAAACGCTACACTACTTACATAAACACACACCGGGCCCAAAGGCAATCCCCCGCTGCGTTTTCCCGGCCAACCCACGGCCGGTACTCCTTGCCAGACAGGGGACGCGAACCGTGGTTCTTTCCCAGCCATCCCTTGCAAACGCTACACTATTTACATAAACACACACCGGGCCCAAAGGCAATCCCCCGCTGCGTTTTCCCGGCCAACCCACGGCCGGTACTCGCTGCGGTAATGAATGGCTAGTAATCCTTTGCAGCAACTATAACAAAATTCATCATGGCGAACCGTCTGATGACTTGGACTTGGACTGTGGTGTGGTTTTTGATGACGTCTTGGACTTCCTGTGCTCAGTTGGACGCCTCCATACCCTGGTGCGTGCTCCCATGCTCCTTCTACGCTTCTTTTTCTTTGCGCGGCGGTCTTCCCACCCTTGACGTTGCATGTACCATCACACCGTACGGGCCCGTGTAGCAAGATAACATATGTATGACAACACGTTCAGGAAAGTTCATCATCTACCAGTGCCCCATATTCCATTTCCATATTCATCGCTTGTGGGCATCCGCACGATGGCGCTTGGGCCTAATACAACCTGCAGTCACTGCACTGCACTGGCAGAGGCAAATATTGGACATGATAGCACAGCATTTCCCGGCCGATGGGCGGCCGGTACTCTACCCTTCCCGGCCAAGGACGGCCGGTACTGAGGCCACTTAGACCAACAACTGCCAGCATCGCAGGAATACAAGGAAAACAAAGCTCTATCACATGGGAGCCGTGCAGCAACGTAACATATGCATGACAGACATTTAAAAAAGTGCACCGTCCACCATTAACTTTTGTTCCAGTGCATACAACACCTAACTGCAGACACCAACACCAATATGTAACAACTTTGAAGCCTAGGAATCCAAGGTTAGCTTACGTTTTCTCTTCCTTGTTGAGGCTGCCGGGGCGCCGCCCTTGGGGGTCCCGGCCTCGGCGCCTTCCGTAGCGTTCATCTGGCTGCCTGCGCATGCCACACACAAAAAGGTACACATTCAGCAAGATGTCCATGCACCAAAAGAGAGAAATAGCACCAATAGGGACACGATGGGAGAAGCAGCAGCTGGCCATGCACACCGCGAGCCCAGCAACAGCGGCTTTTTCCCAGTCAAGCCGCGGCCAGTACTCCAGCCGGGCACAACAGCACTCCCCTCGCCC